AAAAATACTTAATAAAACTTATACCACAAGGGAGCATAAAATGTGAAACTAATTGAACCACGATCATTTATCTCGTAGCTCTATTATCAGGCACATTGCGGACGTTTCAAGTGCACGCCTGCGATGGCGAGGAACTCCGGCTGGAATGCCTGCCCAACACAGTCATCAGCATCTATTTGGCTCAATACGGACGTACGGTGCCCTCCCATCAGCTCTGCCCCACACCCCCACCCCCATCATCATCACTGCCATCGACCAACTCTACCATCACTTCTAATACTACTTCAGATTGTCTGACATCCGATACGTTGAGAGTAAGCGTTAATTAATTAATTAGTTTTTATTAATTGAGTTGCGATCACAAAAGTGGTGTTTTTCGGATCAGTTTATTGATATTAATTAAGGTATTCAATAGACACCATATAATAGACAATAGTAGCCGGATCTATTTGTCTTAGTTTACGGGTACCACCCTTAATTGTATTAAACACACGAGAATTAGCGTATAAATTGTGTAAATCGTTGTTGTCGTACATATCAAGTGTTAATAGTTTTGCACATATTTGAGACTTTAGTCCTAAAAAATTCTGTATAAATTTTGTTAAAATTCTGCTTAAATTCTGTTTAAATTCTGCTTAAATTCTGCTTAAATTCTATGACAAGAATTTGTCTATTAATTCACAAATATTAATATATACCATGAATTGTCTCCCCTATAGTACTCGCTATTACAGAAAGTCGAGTCTTCGTGTCGCGAGCAGCGGGTCTGCAAATTCATGACAAGTCCGCAATCGTTTGGTGGTATCGATCCCTGTCCTGGTGTGCGGAAGTACGCGGAGATCGCCTTCAAATGCAGGCCTAGTATGTCACTCATAGTCTCATCCGTTTTCAAACACACATTTTAAACACCTATTTAATCAAACTTCAGACACATTTTACAACAAAGTCGTCTGCGAGGGCGAGCGCCTACGGCTCAAGTGCCACAAAACGTCGCGGATTGTCATCTATTCGGCTGCCTTTGGGTCGACACAAGCGGGTGTCCCGGAGTGTCCCCAACCGGACGCCAGTCAACAGCCTATGTCTCAGTCGATGGCAGCTTCGGAGGAATGTCGGGTCAGTTACGCCACGGAAACCGTAATGAGTTCATGTCATGGCCGCAAGAAGTGCTCCCTAGAGGCAGATATTGGTACGTTTGGGGCGCCGGGATGTTCAAAGGGGACCCGTTTGCACCTGAAGGTGGTCTACACCTGCGTACCCAAGGATGTGCTCAAAGAGTTGGAGATCGGAGTGACGGACACCGAGAAGAGTAATAGTGATAATAGTCTGTCCAATGAGGACGGCGTGGATACCAGTGATTACACCGGGTTTGTGGAGGAGCCCCGGTATGTGCCGGAACAGGAGCAGCCCTCCACGTCCCCAGTGTCTGGTCATAAGGTGACGGGAAAGGTAGATAAGGAGGATCTGGAGATCAAGTATATAAGCCCTGGCGATAGGAGTGATGTTGTGGTGAAGAATAGCGACTATAATATCGCTAATAATAACAGCGCCGACAGCGATGTCAACTGTACGCTGATAGCGCCGCCGGAAAAAGTGATCGGGTTCATTTCCGATTGGATATCAGCGGTTAATTTCATTAAAAGTATGCGTTTTTTGTGTTAAATTTTTGTTTTCGTTTTTGTTTTGTAGCGTATTTTAGACAGTAGTGTGTAATCGTTTTAAAAGCTATATTTCGTGACATATTTGTGAAGCAATTAAATGGTGTTTAAGGCTTAGGTTTTTGGTCACGAATTGTTTGTATGATTTATTAACATTTTGGCGGATATTTTATGAAAAGTTTGTTTTTAGAGAAAACTATTTTTTTGCAACCAATCGATACAATAAGGTGTGATAAATAGGCGTTTAATTGGTTTTTCAGTGAACTCTGCAAATAAATTATCGCTTTATTAAGACTTAAAGTTTAGATAATTTCTATGAAAATTTTTTGTTAAACATTATATAAATTTGGTGCACACCTTATAGTGTAGTTGTAAATACATTTCCATACTATTAGATATTTGTACAATTTTATTGTATACCTGTCTATTGTATTCCTATAATTAAGTTTTAAGTAAATTTCCCAACCATTAGATATTCAGAGATTTATTTATAGACTTTGTGGCACCCATTTAGCCCTCCATTGGATTCATATAATTTAATTCAAATAAATGTTTAGTTAAAAAGTCTTATTAAAATTTAAATCATGTGCATACAAAATTAAATCAATGAATCATTGACAATGATACATGGCAATTTAACATATGAAACTATTTTTTGCAAATACCATAAGACTTCAATAGTAATAAACATTTATTAAATCCAATTAATTTCTAAATAAAAAAAATCAAAATTACTTTAAAACTAATTATAAAACCTTTTTTTTGTATGAATTGTAGGAAACACTGAGCGCCTGGTCCTCTACCTACTGGTGTCGTTGTGCGGGTCGTTAGTCTGCTTCCTAATCGTGTTGTCGTCGCGTCTGTTCCTACAGAAGAGGAAAGCCATCCGCAAAGCCAAAGACGATATGCCGGCCTGTCATCCATTTGGGGGCCTCACAGACGAGCACGTGGACGACATCCTGGACCAGTTGGATGGGGTGACGACCCTCACGGAGCCGCTCAACCACAGCCACCACCACAACCACCTACACCATCACCACCCGATTCAAGTGGTCAGATATGGCAACAATGGCGGCACCGGCGGTGCCGCCAATGGGGTCAACACCGCCAGTAGGACCTCATCGATGAGGCGACAAAATAGTGATACAAACCCGCGATCGTTGACTAGAAGTCTGAATAACTATTACTACAACTGATTGGCAAATGTTTGGCGACTTTTACAAAGTTTTTTAATAAAAACACAAAAGTTTTGATCAAATTTTGTACTTTTGATGACAAATATTGTATGAATACTTGATATGATGTGTCACTTGAGAAGTGATGTCTGTATAGGAAAAGTGGAGTACAAAAGAGTACATTTGAATATGACATTTGGTAATTGATCATGATCATTTTTGTTGTTGTCTAGATTTAAATGGATCTCATTATTTAATAATTAATATATTAAATATAAATTCTATGATTAATTCATTTGAGAAAACTTTTTGTTCAAAACTTTTAATGTATAATACAGTTAGCATTCATTTGAGATTAAATTTGTAAAATTGTGAACAAATATATATATATAATTATACTTATTATTATGATTAACAATTACCTGTAAATTAAACATTTATTTATAAATTCATTAAATTATTGACTATTAATATAATACTTTGCATTCATTTACAGTAAATATAATACATAAACGATTTGAATTTAGCGCTAATTCTGTGGCAAATATTTAATATCCATCTATTGCTTAATTTGATTTAAAATTAAGTTTTAAATAAATTTCCATATTATTAGATATACAATAAATTTGTTAAAAATGTGTATAAATTTAGTACATAGTTATTAGTTTGGTTTATTTCCAATAATTAAGTTTGAAGTAAATTTCCAAACTATTAGATATTCAGAGAATTGGTAGACTTTGTGAAACCCATTTAGCCCTCCATTGGATTCATATAATTTAATTAAAATTTATTTTTAGTTGAAAAATCTCATTAAAATTTAAATCATATAAATATAAAATTAAATCAATGATACAAGGAGATTTAACATAAGACTTCATTTCATTTGTAATAAACATTTATTAAATTCAATTAATTTTCAATACAATTATAGACTATTTCATGAGTTATATATCAATCGCTTTAATTGTGACTATAATTCATATAAATTAGTAGTATTTTTGGTATAATTCAGTGCTGAATGAGTGTTACATAAGTAGAAAAACATGTTTTCATTTATAAATCGTTTTTTGTTTCACAAATTATCATAAATTTGTATTATTTTATGAATTAATTCATTAGTTATCCCAAAAGGTATGGCTAATAGTAGGTCGGCCTACAGTTGTTCACACAATTTGTATCATATATTCGCTGTAATTGTCATAAAACTAAACCTCAAGTCTTGTTCATTGGGTTTCGTATGACTTCGTATGAAAAACACAAAACAAAACTCAAAAACTAAGATATGTTTCGCACTCATAGTCCCCGACAATAGCAAAAGGGCTTAAGTTGTCTCTCGCGGACACAATGCGATTGATTCCCATATTTGTTGATCCGATTGATCTCTCCCTTCACCGTCCAGTCGTGGGAACGGGCAGTACGGGAGAGTTGAGCCCTGAATACGGCTGACGAGGGTTTGGCAGAAATGGTGACTTCGATGCGACTCTC